TCTCCGTCCCCCGCAGTGCCTCCCGCCGGCCGCCATCAGCAGTTTGGCGGCGTGCTGGGGGAGGAATGGAGGGGCGGGCCTGGGCGACGCACGGCCCAGAACGTGCTGGGAGGGCAGGCGCAGCGGAAGGACAAAGCGCCCCGCCCCCGCAGGTAACATGGGCGGGGAGAGTGTGGTGGCCCCGGGCTGGGACACACACACACACGTGACCTGCCCTTTTGCTCATGCCCCCCCCCCCACTCTGGGGAGGCACCAGTTGAATATGGGGCACCCTCGGGGGAAGGGGTGGAGTGGGGGCGGGGCCTAGGACCCTAGGGTTCTAGAACCCTGCAAGGTGGGAGGGTCCCAGAGCTCGGGCTGCAGCCCGAGCTGGAATGTCTACACCACAATGAAACAGCCCCGCAGCCCGAGCCCTGCAAGCCTGAGTCAGCTGGCACGGCTCAGCTGCGTGTCTAACTGCAGTGTAGACACATGCTTACTCATGACGGCTTTGCTTTAATTTTGGTGAAACTGACCAAGAAAAATGCTCCTTTTCCATTATTCAGATCTGAATCCAATAAACTTGCCTCTATCAAAGGAAGCTGGAAGCCAACTGCATTCATAAAATGTAAATGAAAACAGAATTTTAGGCTTTCACTCCTAATGGGTGTGTGATGAAGTGGGAATGTTCTTAATGTTTTCGCTGAATGCTGTGTGGGTGCCTCAGTTTCCCCTATGCATTTCTCTAGCGTCTAGGGGTGTGTGATTGTTGCAGAGCACTAGGGGGCCAGTGTGATCCTGTCTGCACAGAGAATGGCCAACACCGTGTCTCCTGGCAACTAATGGCCTGGACCCCTCCTCTGCAAAGGTGCCAACTAAAGGTGTTGAAGAACAAAGAGATCAGGTGACCTCCTGGCTCAGGAAAGAGACAAAGGGAGAGGAGGGGCTGGAGAGTTTTCAGTTTAGAGCTGGCTGGGAAAATGGAGAGGAGGCTAGACAGACCTCCCTGACCCCCCAAGATGAACCTGACCGAGGGGGTCCTGTTGTCTGTACCTGCAAGACCTGTCTTGAACTGTGTTCCTGTCGTCTAAATAAACCTTCTGTTCTACTGGCTGGCTGAGAGTCATGGTGAATCGCAGGAAGCCGAGGGTGCTGGGCCTTGTCTCCCCCAAACTCCGTGACAGGGTGCTGGGATACTTTGAGGTTTATTGGATGTGATGTGGTTCTCCCTCCCTGTCTCAAAAACTCCTCCATAGCGAGCGACTTTGCTGACTCTATCTGAATTCATTTTGCAGCCAGAAAAGATGAGATTTGTTTAGGAGAGTTTACCGTTGAAGGAAACAGGGAAAGGGGCTGTTTAAAAGAACAGTCCAGGAATTCCAACAGACAATGGTTCCTGCAAATGTGCACATTACACTGGCAATGTGTCATCCCTGCCATCAATAGCCTCTAACTACAGAGGCATTACACGGCATGAAAAATACATCTCTGCAGCACCTGCATTCCATTTCATCACTTACTATCCTCACCAGGTCCCCTGTAACGCCTGCTTTGAGGCTTTGTACACCCCGTATGTGACCAGTAAATTAATACACACCCTAAACTGTTCTGTCAAGCAGCTAGTTAGCGGAGTATCTCCTCTAAGTGGGATGTGCTGTCATGTTCAGCAATTCATTACACTAAGCTACTCAAACAGAAGACCAGTACAAAGGAGTTCATGCGGCTTTAAAGCCTTCCCGGGTTGCATCCATCATTATGCATTTTCTCTGAGCCAGATGCAAACGGACTGAATGTTCTGCAGCTGTCATCATCTCTCCGCACAGTTTAAGACAGCTGCCCCCGAGCTGAAGTGTAATTCACTTTTCATGATGCATCTCCAAAAGACACTGCGCATAAAGAATTTCATTTGGAGGGGAGCAGGCTTCTACTCCCGGAAAGAAGGAAACGTGCTTTGCCGTAACACTTGATTTAGCATTCACAGCTGATTTTGAGCGGCCTTAAGTATAACACTGGCTAGGCCAGTGCAATGGTCATCGGCGTGCATCTGGGAGGTGCACAGCTGGCCTTGCGAGAAAAGATTATTAATGGCATTTCTTTGGAGGTGGTTGGAAAGGGAAGAAAATCCATAATAGGGATGTACCATGAACCTGCCTATGTCAAGGGCACCACATGGTAACTAATGTATAGAGAAAATAAACCCCCGTGCCCGGTTCCCTAGCAAGGCGCTGTTACTGATTCCTCCTCTGAGCAAAAGAGAAGGGCTGGGTTAAATATGTCCCTCTCAGGGCCGTTTAGCAGAGAGAGGCAGGAAACTTCCCTGCATGTGCTACCCACATGGCAAGGCCGAAACGTGGCAGTGAGAGGAGAAGCCACCAGGCGGTTATCCCATTTCTGCACAGGGAGCAGGGAACGGTTGAACAAGGGAGCGCAGTCAGGGGAGCTGCTCCCTCCTGTGAATGACCTGGTGCTGTGCCCCTTAACCACTACGTCTTAGGAAATACATGACAGAGCTTAGAACTGGTGCTGAGGTTACTGTGCCAGATCTTCAGCTGGCACAAATCAGCATGGCTCCGCGGAAGTCAATGCAGGTGTAGGCTAAACATCAGGAGAGATGTCCCAGCAGATGTATCAGATTGAGGAATAGTCTCCCAAGGAAAAGGTGCCAGCCCCATCACTTGGCACATTTAAAACTAGACCAGATAAACCAGCGAATGATGTGAAGGGAAAATCCAGCGTTGGCTGGGGACGGACTGGATGACTCAACAGGGCTTTTGCCAATCTAATTGCTGGGGCAATGTCAGGAATCAGGGCCTGCAGCCGAGCTGTTTCCCAGGCAGTCTCATCAGTACATCTGGTCTGCAGCAGCTGCCTAATTAGCCACACAATGTGACTGGTTGCTGAGGCCAGCAGGCCAGCTCTTAAGCCAGCAACAGCGGCAGCTCGCTGGCTTCTCAACACTCACCCCCCCCACTGTGCCTGCATTACCTTGTTCCTGTTGCTCCTGCCTTGCACCCAGCCTTGCCTCTTTCCTGTCCCTCCCTCGCGCCCCTCCTTGCCTGAGACCCTGTTTGCTCAAGCTCCTGACCTCCAGTTTTGACCCCCAGCTGCGGCTCCTGACTACTGAGTCCAGCTCGACCCCCTGGCTCTGGTATCCAGTCCGTCCTCCGGTTTTGAACCCTGGCTCTGGGGACTGACTCTGGCCACTAGGCCTGCTGCCCGTTCCAGCCACTAGGCTAGACCACCCTCATCCCAGTTACTTGACCATAGAATCTCAAATGCACTTTCAAGCCCCACGTATGGGCCAAACAGAGAAGAACCACAGAGTTTCTGCCACGATGGAGGGTCCACACGGAAGGACTCTGTGACCCATGGACACTGCAGAGGAGACCATTGTGGTGGGTATTTAATTACGGTTAGACTCTGGCTGGTATGCAGTAGTACGCTGTATCTGCATCGCTCCCAGCTGCTTTCTTCTTCTTCTTCTTCAGAATATCATAGAATCCTAGAATATCAGGGTTGGAAGGGACCTCAGGAGGTCATCTAGTCCAACTCCCTACTCAAAGCAGGACCAATTCCCAACTAAATCATCCCAGCCAGGGCTTTGTCAAGCCTGACCTTAAAAACCTCTAAGGAAGGAGATTCCACCACCTCCCTAGGTGACCCATTCCAGTGCTTCACCACCCTCCTAGTGAAAAAGTTTTTCCTAATATCAGTTTTTCATATAAGAAAACCCACCACTCAACTCCTAGCTGTTATTGTTGTGAGAAAATGTGAATTGAGTGTAACCAGTGCAATGAAAACCACCTGCAAATAGCTTGAAACAACAGCTCCAAAAGGTGGGACTAGCCCCATTCCTTTCAGTGGGTCCTAAGTCAAATGTCCAATGAAGATACTTTAAAAGCCTACATTGTTACCAATTTGACTGCTCATCAAAGCAGGTAAGACAGGAGGCAAAGGATCACACTATGAAGAGCTACATAATCTGTTCCGAGTGACAGCTCGTTCTGGTGCTGAAGCGAGTGGGCTCGAGACACACTACTGCTCACTGCCTAACTCGCTAAGAGGAAGTCAAGTCCGAAGAGCCCAGCAGAGCATGATCGATCATATTTTGAACATTGGTACAACCTACTGAAAGTGGCATCTCACGTAGGTGCCTCAAGTGGGTGGAGCTTATTTTCTGGGCAGAGTTTGGAAGAGTACCACTACCCTTCCCACACCCTATTTCAATTCCTGATACCCCACACAAGGCAGGGGTGGGGATGGGCATGCTAAGGGCATGGCCAGTGAATTTCAAGCACAGCCAAATTGCACTGGATGGGAGAAGTGAGCTTTTCCACTATTCCCATCCATAGCCTGCAGTAGCCAGGCACAAGCTGGCCATGTGGGTCAGCAGCCCCCAAAGCATAGGATGGGGCTGAGGATAGCTTCTCTCAGCCCTTCTGCACTCAGCAGTTTCCTTGCACTGAAGCATGCTGAGCTGAGCTGGGCCGTGCTCCAGCCCAGTGCCTCTGGGTCTATGCTTGCAATTTTCTGAGGCTTTATAAACAATTTGCTTTGTAAGCCCATCTTGGTATTTGTGGACGTGCTGAAAAGGGTTGTGACGTCAATAACATAAGACACATACAACAGGATAGTGGCCATTTCAATCCCGCGAGTGGCATTTCAGATTCCTCCAACGAGCAGCCAAAACGCAGGAGTTAAACAGACCAGACGACCCACTAGCTGTCCCTTCAAACCCAACCAATCTGTTGACTAGACGGGATAGGATCACATCCTAAAGCATCTCCAGCTGTTCAGTGACATGGTCTTATATCTCAGGAATTTACCATAGCTCTTCAAACAAAACACACGATTAGGAAACTCTTGCAGTTGCTTTTGCGAAACAGAACCACATAGTTATTTCACAGGCGGTCTCAGAGCCACCCTCAGTGACGCTGGCTGATCATAAACAACCGACACAGCTCACAGCAGCCCAGGACAATAGATATACTTGGAAAATAAACAATAGAAAGTTACTCCACCTGGCACTTGCCATGTACGCAGAGGTCAGTCTCATAAGGCCCACATGGAGTACCATCAAGAACCCTGTCTGCCACCAACGCAGGGGACTCCTTCCCCAGAGGAGAGCAGAAGAGTTCACACGGCTTATCTGAAAAAATACACAAGATCGGCAACTTCATTCAGCAGCAACAGCAGCATTTAGACAGAGCACGAGAATGTCTGATGGAACAAGATGCATGAATATAGTAAGTACGTAACACGGACTCTATACAACTACACTGACAAGTACATATTTATTGATAACTCTAAGTGGGCTCAGATTCTAACGGTCTCCGCTTTAAGGCTGCTTGACCCATTGTTTCCATTCAAGCCCAGCATTCTACCTCTCCAAGATGCACTGTTTATCTGAAGATGCAGAAAGGGTTAAAAAGCGAGAGGTATGGGAGACTTGAATCATCGGCAATACTTGTCATTTTAGATCTGAATGAGTAACTTACTGGAGCAATTTTTCCTTCTCTTTCTGTCAACTGGGCTTATATCTTTCCCTGCATAATTCCAATGCACAATCCTTGGTCTCTAGAATGGGCACAAGCAGCTCACGGTGAACATTTCATTGACAAAATTCAAGCTGTGCAAGCTGGTTCTAAATGGACACATCGATCGTGTGATTTGTGTCTGTTTCTTGACTGAGCTTAACTCTTGAAACCAGGTTTCCAGTGAGCACATTTGTGTTCAGAAATTTAAAACTCATTTTGCACAAATATTTGCTAAAATTTGCTTTGCTGCCAGCAAACTCGCTTGCTAGAAAGCAAACATATATTGTTGGGAAAAGATGAGCATTATTTGCCCATTCTAGTAATAATATATTATATTGTATGTTTAGACATTTACTTTGGAGGGAACTGTGGGGTAAATGTTTAGACATTTATGGGGAGGGATAGCTCAGTGGTTTGAGCATTGGCCTGCTAAACCCAGGGTTGTGAGTTCAATCCTTGAGGGGGCCACTTAGGGATCTGGGGCAAAATCAGTACTTGGTCCTGCTAATGAAGGCAGGGGGCTGGACTCGATGACCTTTCGGGGTCCCTTCCAGCTCTATGAGTTAGGTATATCTCCATATATTGTATTTTTTATTATAACTAGAGGAATAAGGGACTAAAAGGCTCAAACTATATAATTAACAACAGGTGCCAGGGTTCTCGTGTGTATGCATTTGCAGAGTGAGATGTTTTGATTTCCAGAACTCACTCCTGCTCTCTGCTGCACACAGACTGTACCGAAGGGTATGTCTATACTGCGACCGCACCTCGAGCTGACACACCCGAGCTAGGTTTAATCTAGCTAGCTCGGATCCTGGAATAAGGAAGCTGCAGGGTGACTTCAGCACAGTAATTATCTAGGGTGCCGGGTGGGTTTGTACAGCCAGTACTGAAGCCTGTGCTGCCATAGTTTCACTGTTCTGGAACCCGAGCTAGCCTGGGTACATCAATTCAAGCCGCAATCACAGCCTACGACTGCCGCATAGACAGACCCAGAGAAAGAACCTACTGACATTCTGATGTCAGTGTTGGTCTACACCAAAGCCTGCATCCTCCCCAGAGCTCGGTAGTGTCCAGTTTACAAGATGGGAGGCCAGGTTCTTTGATACACTAAGGCCATTTGTACAGGTCCCTTCCTGCTCTAAATTCCCTTTGAATCACGAACTTGCCTCACTGCAGCCCATCTCTCTAGTATGTCTGAGCAGAGTTCTAACGCAACGGAGAATCAGGGCTGGCCAGAGGGTGGTTGAGGTCTGTCTCTATTCAAAGGCTCAAGAAACCTTCACTGTGTGGACGCTGGGAACCAGAGGAGAAGACACGGGAGAACGTGGTTTGGAATTGTTTATATACTTAAACCAGACCTGTCAGCACTCCAAGAATGCCAAGCCAACCTGCACCCTGCCCGGCTGTCTTGCTTTAGGGAGGCATCACAGGTGCGTCCTATCAGTGCTCAAAGTCCTTGCTTCCCCCCCTACCCCGTCAAATCAAATCAGTTTCTCACTAGCTGGATTTTGATATCATTTTCTGTGAAAGCTGCACAAGGACTGGCCTGCATAGGGGAGTGCCCGTCTGGTTGTTTCTGGACAGCCTCTGTTCCCGCAGCTGTGAACAACTCTGACTGCCTGCTCTACCCATGTGGCGGGAAATATTTCTAATTCACAGCCTTAGCTCAAATGAGCCGTCCTCTCCATTATGTATTAAGGTATGCCAGTGTCCATTAGGAACCGTACGGCAGGCAGAGGGTCTGAGCATATACTCCCCTGCACCTTTGTAAAGCAGAACCGACCCTGCTCAAGTCAGCAGAGAGCTTTTGGTTTTTTAGCTCCTCCCTCCTTAATTTTCCATCAGGCCCAAGAATGGCAATATCCCTCCCCTCTTGCTGAAGGCAGCTCCCTTGGGTGTTTGCCAACACCTCTGGGAGTGCAGGTTGCAGAGGGGCTCTCAAAAGCAGGGGGTTCTTCCACTCTGTTTTTCCACATGGGGCGTCCAAAGCACCCACAGCCCCTGCTGGCCCAGAGAAGTGCCCTAGCTGATTTCTGGCTGCTCCTAAAGCCAGACTGATGTGGCACCTGCAGCAATAAGGCAAGAGGAGAATAAAAAAATGTTAGCGCAGCATGTGACCTAAATGGGTCAAGTATCCTGAATATTGTTCTGCAAATGCTCCCTAACAGAAGTCTGTGTCCTCTTGGGGAGAGCTGGGGTGCTGACTCCATCAATGGAAACAGAATCCCTGCAAGGTGGTGGCGTCCCTTTAAAAAACAACAACAACAGAGCACTCCCTTCCTATAAGTGTGTGATGAGAGCCACGGATGGCAACGGCACCGTTATGAGCAGGGCAGTTATGATGGATTTCAGTGAAGTCGGCAGCCAAAGCACAGGGACTGTACATCTCAGAAGTAGCCTTCACAATGGAGCCTTTTTATTCAGGAACCTCTGAGAGGTGCAGAGTTGCAATTTCATAGGCTGCAATTACTCCCGGCATCTGTTATTTTGCTTCCTTGAAAAGAGCTTGTGAAACGTTCTAAACGGTTTATGGACGACGGCTGCTTCCGCGGAAGGAAAAACAGGGGTATTTTTTTTTTGACTATATGTATATTTATTCAAAAAAACCTAACAGTGCAAATAGCTCAAGAGCTCTTCTGTTATCGCATTATCCCCCGCCAAATGGGAGACAGGCTGCCCTGAGGATGAGAGAGCTTCACCCAGGCTTCTGCAGGAAGTCATGTTAGTGATTCAATGGGTGACATTTTCCCTATTCATCAGCATTCAAACTGTTCTCCAGCACAGCATCTAGGGTGCACCAGCGTGAGCCCAGCCTAGCATCTAGGTTGCACCAGGATCCTAGGGTGCCATCTGTTGTAAGAAACATAAATCCGAGGATCTGACTGTAACAGCAACCGTTAGTCAGTGGATACTGGCACCCATGTCAGCTGAGGCCAGGAAATAAAGTTCAGTCTCCCCCCAGTGCTCCTGTGTGTCACACCCAGGATTACCAAACACCTGTGATCAATCGAGAACACACAGCTCTTTCCTTCACTTTCCGTCCCACGCTGCTTTGTAATGTTCCCATGCCTGAAGTAAACAGGTGCCAGGTTCCACAGGTTGCCTTCACTGAGGGTAAAAACGGTTCCTGTATATACGGCTTGGAAAGCAATTTGGAACCTGTCCAGATGAACGTAACTGCGGTTTTCACTGCTTCTGCACAACAGCCCTGTATCTCTGGGGCTCTATCAGCTTCTTTTTTAAACTACAAATTATAAAGGACTTTGGGCCAAGTTCATCTCTGCTGTAACTTCATTGAAAGTAACAGAGTTACGCCACGGACCACTTTGACCCCGTGCATTAAGCACCGAGTGAGTAAAAACGGCAAGGAATCCTGTGATTTGTATGTAGCATTGGATGTGAAGCTTCCTCAGTGAAGTAGTAGAGAGTGAGTAACCACATGTGGTGTCAACACATTAACGCACCTTAAGAGCTAAGATCAATTCTCAGAGAAAACTTCCCGTCAGCCTGCAATGCTCATGAGAATGGGAGATTCACAGACGAGCCATTTGCAGAGAGACCATGCCAAGAGCAGAAGGGTTTGGACTGCATAATGCAGAGCAGCTGATGGGAATTGGATTATTCTGGATGGAAGAGGGAAATGGAAGTGGTGGGTGGCCAGGAAGGGCGGTAAACCGCACAGTGAAATTGTTAAGCAGGTTCTCGCTTCTGCGAGAGACTAAAGGAGGGAAGTTGTACACGCGTATCGAGCAGAAAGAAGCGAAAAGCCAAGGCTGCTGGACCAATACTTTTAGCGATGTGGAGGTGGGAGGAGAACTGAGCTAAGGAAGAGGTAGGGAGTAGTGGTAGGATGATATTAATTAATAATGGGCACCTGTCAATCAGCCTCCTGGGTGCCAAAATCATCATCATCAGGGTGGCCAAGGTCCTGGAGGGAACGGGGGATGAGGCAATAGTCTAGTGGAGCCCCGAGAGGGATTTAAGTAGGAGGCCCTGCAAACCAAACTACACGAGGCAGTTACATGAAGAAAGGCACTTCTGGGGCGGAGTTCTTAGAATGACTGTTAATATCTGAACTGGGTCTAAGGCAAAAAGGTTCAAAACTGGATGAGCGTCTGAAAAATTGGTGTATACACACGAATTGTTGGCTTTAATGGCACTCCAGTGCGGGTTGTGTATTTGCTAGTTTTTAGGAACAAATGAGGCCTATACAAGTGGGATGGGCTCCATCTGCACAGACAGGGCATGCATACACTAGTAATGGGGAGCTCTGTTTGTGGGAGTGGTGGAGATTAAAGTAGCAGACAAGGGAGGAGGAGACATCAAGGAGCCATACTGCAGCCAGCAAAAAGGAAGAAAGCTAAAATAAACAGAGAGGTGGGCAAGGCAGAGAGAGAGACAGTCTAAACCTGTACAGGGAAGACTCGGGAACAGGAACTGAATACCTGGAGGGCGAACAGCTTTCAGCCCAGCAGTAACAAACCAAAGCAAAATTCCTAGGGGACCCTGAGTTAACAAGTACAGGTGGAAGGAGATGTTTCTCTGAAACTTTTAGGTAGTGACAGAGTGACATCTGGGAATTTGTATCCAGCCCTGAGCAATGGAAAACATTATAGAAATGGGGAAGATACTGAACAGCCGTGAGAGCAGAATGAATGGGGACTGGAACATGTCCTACTTGTTTAGGAATGGTCTTAGCATCCAATGCAAGAGCAATTGAAGGAAAGAAACAGACAGACAGACAGACACACTACAGACCTGATCCAAGGCCCACTAGAGAATCCAAGTGATTTTAATGGGCACTGGATTGGGACCTACAGGAATTAAGGTGAGAGAGTCGGTAATAAACAAAAACTCTCAAGGGCAGGAACAGGAGGACCAGGATAGGGCTAGGAGATGCACAGAGGTTAGACACGTCGTTATAAGAGAAGCTATTGAAGAGAATCATTTCTTACTCAAAGAAGTGGGGATGCGCTTCAAGAAGAATTCTTCCATAATCCCGGACCTGAGAAGTCCCTAGGTAGGGCCCGATTCTGCAAAGTGCTGGGTGCTGTTCAGGAGGATCTGCACCTCCTGCAAGATCAGGACTCCAACTAGCCAGTACAGCTTTGGAAACCCTGGAACAGCATCTGCCATTCCCCTACTAACTAGAGGGTTTGCAATCCCCTGTCACCTCTGCCCTCTTTAGGTGGTTGCTTGATAGCTGGGCTGGGCAGTCACAGGTCTCATTTTCAAGTGGTGATACCCAGAAGTACCTGTTCTCCCCCCCCCTCCCCAATCACCGGTGTTTTCCTTGCCTTCTTTTGTGAGAAGAGGGGACTTGCAATATGTTTCTGATGCACAATAATGTTAATATAATTAGGCAGCTTTCAGCTAGAAAAGGGTTTTAAAAAAATAATTAATAAATGGGGGGTCCAGATGAGACCTTCAAAATCAATCAAGTGGAGGTAGGTGCCCAAATCCCATGGAATTTCAATAGTTTTTGGGCATCTACCTCAGTTAGAGTCACTGGAAAACTGCTGCCTAATTGTGTAATCATTTTTAAACAAACCCCACTGGGGCTGGGTGTGAGCATCTCTTACTTATGCAAAAGAAATAAAGCACAGAATGTTTATATTATTCACTATGGCCCAAACTAAGTCCTGGCATAAATGTTTGCAATTCCTTTGGAACTGCTGACACCAGAGCTGACTGTGGTCCACAGCGAATAATACAGCACATTTCTGCAGACTTGTTTTGCATAAGTAACGTTATGTGCTGGGATAACATGAAGGTAGTTTGCTGTTGTTGGCTTTGATGAGAAATGAGCCAAGACTGAAATATGTGAGCTGATGTCCAGCGTTAACCTTTTCTACCCACTGCAGTCCTCTCAGCTGTGCGGTGGGGGAGGCCTGGCTTTCAGCTGAGGGACTGCTATCACAGAAACAGCTCGGCAGCATTGCTTTCCGGGCAGGACAGACCAAATTTTGCACAAACATCCCTTTTCCTGGTGGTACAGCAAGCAGTCCTGGGGGCCTCTAAGCACTGGAGCACCGTGCATCAGACCTGATTTGTTGGGTGCTAACGTCTGAAGGGGACAGAAGCTGCCAGATGTGTACGGGTACACAGCAGCTGCAGGTGTAATTTGCAGGTTGGAGAGATGGACGCACGCTAGCTTTGATCAAACTAGTGCACTATAAATAACAGCGTGGCTGCGGCACAGGCTAGCCACCCAAGTACATACCCTGGGTCTCAGCTGGGATTGTACTCAGGGGGCTACCACTGCTATTTTTAGCACACTAACTCGGTCAAAACTAGCGCATCTTGTCTATGCGAGCTGGAAATAAGGAGCTGCAGTACAGACATACACTCAGTCTTGATCAAAAGCCCTGCTCTGCACCATTTCAGTACGACCAGGAGAGGATCAGCCCACACGAATGTGGCCTTGTACATTTATCAGCAGATGGTGATAACAGGGGCCTGTTTCTCTGGAAACCAGCTTAGTGAATCTCATCTTTCATAGAACCTCATCATTTCAGAATGACTTTTCAAGTCCACCCAAGCAAGTATCAAGACTTCGCCAAGGAAAATTGTTTCGGAATAATGACAAATTTAAATACAAGTAGATGTACAAACGTGCTGAAGCGGGCAAGGAATCATGCAAGTAACATCCCAAGGTGAAGCCTCCTCCTTGCTTTCAGTTCCAGATTTTGCTTCTATTTCCTCATGTTAAAAATGATCAGAAAGCTCCAATTCCCATGCTACCTGCCTGTTCAGATGGGGACATTTTAATGAGAGCCTGGGAGAGGTTATGGAACTCAAGGGCTGTAGTTACATCCCAAGGCTGGCTGTAGAACTGGCCTGCCCAACCGATCTTGTTGAGAGGCTAAAAACAAGGGAGACAAGATGGTCATGAGAATCAGGAATTCCCTTTAACTGCCCTCCAGATCTACCCTCTGGGGATAACTCCACAGCGGTCTCTGCTGACAAATGGGGGATCAATCGAGACGGGCCGAAAAACCACGGGGAAAAAAAAGTGGTGAGGAACTATATAGAAAGTTGGTGAATTTACCATCAATGATGACAGCTGTCAAGAGGCTTTTCTTCTTGTTGGTATATCTGTCATGAGACTGGCATTGCTGGTCCCTGAAGCTAGGCGCTCCTTTAGGGCAGGGTAAATTTTCACACACTGTGTGTTCCACACTGGCTCCCCGGCAGTTCTTGCCTCCCGGCCCAGGGCTAGAATGGGGAAGACAGACCAGTTATCAAGTGGGAGAGGCACAGGTATTTACAGGTACATTGTTGCTTATCTTTCTCTGTCCAAAGCAACTACTCTAAGCTAATAGATTGCGCCATTCCCCTCAGAGATCCCAACTGCACACATACTTACTGTCGGCCAAATTCTGCCCTCGGATATTCAAGTAGCTCCCACTGAAGGCAACACAAGCTTTGAGAGCACATCTGAAGACAGAATTTAGCTCTGTGTTGCACATCTAACTGACTCATCAGAAACAGCCATTTGGAAACAAAGATTAAAGCCAGGGCTTTGGAGATATGTGCTCTGTAGGCATAAATATAATGCTGTCCATACTATAAGTATTTTGGATGAGATGTAAAACCAAGATGCTAGTCCATTGTGGTCATTAATAGCCCACATGTCAGCTGGTGGGCTTGTTGGTGGAGGATGATCAGCCCGTGCCTCAGTGTGATGCTTCACAGGGGTAGCCACGATTGTGAGGCACCTCTCTACCACCTGCCCTTCATAAATAAAACATCTTAGAAACACAAAGGAGGATTTCTGAAGCCCATGTTATAATACATACATTTATCACATCCTTTCTGAAGTCTCATTTCTTTCTCTTTTAAGCACTTTTCCCCTTGAGAAACAGGGAATCAAAATATACAGCAAGAACAGTATGGCTGGTGCTATGCCATGTGATCACAAAGAGAAGATACATTGAAACACAACAAATATCTCTCTGTATTTCTTTTCCCCAATCCCCACACTTCTCAGGACAGATTTTTCGCCCATTCTCCCACCAATTTGGAACAAATGTAACAATTTTTATTTTCAGCATAAAAGTAGTCTTTTCTAATGTCCATTTCCTCATTGAAAAAAATATTACAGGTGAGCCGGCCCTCAGTTCCTTCTCCAACCAAACATCCCTAAAGGCCCGAACGCAAAAGGATAGGAGGGCAGGTAGTGGAACACCCATAGAGGGATATAGCTTGAAGAACAGCAGTTATTGCACAAGTGAGCAACCTCTTCTCCTTAGAGTAGCACCCCTATGGGTGCGCCACTTCCGGTGACTTCCGAGCAGTATTCCCAGATGGAGGCGGGAGCTTCAGAACGAAGTCCAGAACTGAAGACAGTACTGCAGAACCAAGTGCCATCTCTGCTCGGACAGCATGGATTAAGGCGTAAATGTTTCGAAAAGGAATGTACTGAAGCCTGTGTAGTGGCCTGGCATATTTCAGATACTGGTACAGTCTTCTGTAATGTTGTAGATCGGGTGAGTCAATTATTTTTTTCAAGATCCAAATTTCTTGGTCAAGGTATAGTCAAGATCCAAACTCCAGAGAAAATAATAAAAAAACAACAACAATAATAAGTAAATAAAAAGATTTTGGGGGTCTATTCAAAAGCATCTGGCGGTCTGCCATAGATGTTGCTGAGATCTAGTTGAATGTGCTTTCCGCCCTTTGGGGCGGATGAATGCCTGCAGCATCATAACAAGTGAAAATACATCCAGATATCCTCTGGATAGTCTCTCGGTAGAGATCAAGGACCCCTGTGGATCTTTCCACAAAGGAAATGAAGCTCTGAGGTGACTTCCTAAACTGCTTGGTTATATCTAAGTAGGAGGCCAATTCTCTTCTAACATCCAGGTACGTAAATAAGATTCCTGTAGAGAACGATGTGGCTTTGCGATAAACACTGATGAATGGATTGATTAAGGTGGAAATCTGATAGAACCTTAGGTAAGAATTTAGGGTGGGGATGAAAAGAAACCTTGTTCTTAAAAAACACCATAAAGGGGGCGGAATCTACCACCAAGGCTCCAATCTCCCTAATGCTACAGGCTGATGTGATGGCAACTAAAAAAGCCACCTTTATGGATAAATGCAACAGAAAACAGACTGCCCTTGGTTCGAATGGAGGTATCATAAGGTAAGAGTACCAGGCTGAAGTTGCAGTTTAGGGCAGAGTTTCTCATCTGTGGACAGAGAATCCCCAAACCCTTAATAAACAAGGACAATACCAAAAAAGCAAATATGGAGAATACTTCTACTGGAGGTGAAAGGCTGATATTGTGGCCAAATGGACCTTAATCAAACTAACGGATAACCCTACAGGTAATCCTACAGGTAATCCAGGATGATTGAGAGTGGCACCGGAGGCAGTGACAACAACGCCAGTGGAAGAATCTCTTCCATTTCTGCAGGTAAGTAGTGCAGATTGATCTTTTCCTACTATTCAATAACACCTGTTTTACTTCCAAAGAGCAGGAGGAATGTAACCCCATGAACCATCTAGGAGCCATGCCCTGAGGTGGAAAACTGCTAGGTTGGGATGAAACACCCGACCAGCATCCTGTAACAGGAGATGAGGAATGGTCGGGAGCTCAAACAACACTTGGACAACTAGGTGAAGCAGGTAAGGATACCAAACTTATCTCGGCCAGGTCAGCACTATAAGGATAATTCTGACTCTGTCCTGTCTGATCGTGTTAATCTCCCTTAATATCAGCGGTGTTGGAGAAACACATAGAACAGACCCTTCTTCCAAGCTAGAAGGAAGGTGTCTCTTAAGGAGTGGTGGCCCAGACCTGCTCTTGAACCGAAAAGGGGTCACTTTCTATTCCTGAAGATAGCAAAGACATCCACCTAGGGCAGTCCGCATTTTAGGAATATGCTGTGGAGAATTTGGGTGTCTAGCTCCCATTCATAATCCTGGGAGAAGTGTCTGCTGAGGACATTGGCTGTGGTGTTCTGTATGCCTGGGAGGTAGACTGCTGAAATTTGGATCTGATGAGCTATGCACCGATTCCATATAGTTTCATGGCTTCGGAGCACAGAGCGGGGGATCCTGCTCGCTGATATAGAACATGGAGACTATGTTGTCTATCATGACCCTGATTGATTTGCCACTGATAAGGGGGTGGAAAAGAAGGCAAGCATTCCTGACAGTGGTCTTATAAACTCTTGAAAAACAAACACTTATCTCCCCAGTGATATTGTGACATTGTAGATTCTGTCACCAGAGCAATGACCTTAACTAGCATCTGCTTGTTGGGGACACTTCCGGTCTAGCACAGACATGTGAGAGGGAGCAGATGCACTGGGACTGACTCAGAATTGTTCTGGGAAGACTTGTGTTTGGAGCTTTAAACTCTTTAAACATATACTGGGTGCTGCAGACACTCAGCCCTGGTGACTAGAAACATTAAGCGGAGTTTCTTACTACAGGAATCTCACCTTCACATATTAACTTGGTTTCAGCAAACTCTATTCTGTAAAGTAACAGAGAAAAAGATGGGGTGTGTGTGAGAAAGAAAGAAAGAAAGAAAGAAAGAAAGAAAGAAAGAAAGAAAGAGTGTGTGTATGTATGTGATAGAACTTATAGCAGTAGTAAGCCAGACACAGCAGGACATGTATTTACTGTACTCTTAACAGTGGTTCTGGCTTTAATCTTAAAATTTCATTAACACGTGAGACACTTTATGCATTCACTGCTAGGAATTTAAAGACAGCAGCTCTTATTATGGACATTATAATATAGTAAGGGCTAGATCCACTAAAGTACTGAGCATCTCCTAGGCTTCCCCAAATCCAAACGAAGTTAGTGGGAGTTGAGGGAGGTTATCACCTTGCAGAATTAGGGACTAAGACAAGCATGCTGTATGGCTGAATGTAACTGGCAGCATGGGCCTGCCCCTCTAATTATGGAATAAAATGAATGTGCCTCCCACAATGGAGTGGCTCCTGTAACAACAGGTGTCTCCAAAGCACGCATCAGGGGAGGAAAGCATGGATGAGCCCTTTGGTTTTGGACAAATATGAAATATATTTGTATTGTCTATGTAATGTACTGTTTATAACACATGCAAATATCTTTCTCTACCCACACAAGCACATATAGTGACTGTGCCAATATCACACCATACGTGTGTGCAGATATACACATATATATCTGTGTATGTACACACACACATATTTATATACGAGGCCCCGTCACTTGTTAGGAATATCCAACTGAACATTGCTCAGGGCCTGATTTTGGATACACCACATACAATTATATCCTACACACAAAATGTACATGCACACACACATTTCAAAGTCTGCTTTTTAATATAGACTCTCTGCAAGGTGACTTATCTGTAACATCACAGTGATGCCAGGTTAGATCCACAAATCAACTTTGAGAATGTAACCTGGATCTGGATCCAAATTTTGTCAGTTCAGCCCATCTCTAATAAAACTCTTTGGCGTTCACAACATTGGTTTCACAACATTCTCAGGTCATTACAAGACATCAGTAGGCTAAGAAAGGTGAAATTCGAAGCACAATGGAGCTTGTAAAGATGTTTTCAAAAAATATTACTATATTAACACTTGTTGCTGAGAACAGAAAGGTTACCCACAGTCTAATTTAATCTAGTCCAGTGGTTCCCAAACTGGGGTTCAGGAACCCCTGGGGGTTCGCGAAATGTTACAGGGGGTTCTCAGGAAAAAATTCTCTAATGGCGGTCAGAGATGTCCCTAGGGATCCTGGGCAGCATGGGGCCAGCAGCCTGGTGCCCCTGGACTTCCAAGAGCTAAGCAGATCAAAGCAAGCATTGCTATCACACTGAGGAGATTTAAACTTCAAGATTCCTTATAAGAAATGGAAAGGGAGGTGGATATTTTTTGCTGTTTTTAAAATTATATAGGCAGCTAGTATTGTTTTTAAAATTATTATGAACAATTTTAAGCTTTTTTGTAACGTGCATTGTTTGCCTGGACTGCTCAAGACCTGAATGCTTGTGTAGGAGGAACTCTTTGAGTTAGCTTCTTAAATGCCTTCATGCTGTTTCACATCTGAAACATAGGAGCCTTGTCTTATAACAGGCTTATTCAAAGTGATACAAGCTACAAAGGTGAGATCTTGGAAGAGTGTTGCCGTTTTCATAATGCAATAAAAATACTGTAATGATAACTAATAATTAATAACAAATAGTGTGTAATAAGCATGT